AACAGACTTTAATAGATGGAAGACGAGAAAAGAAAATTGATCCTGTACACCCACGTCGAAAACCCGACGTGGTCAATTCTAAATATCGCGAAAAAGGAAACTTTGGATCGACAGCTGATCTGGCAGGACGTGCCTAAACTTCAGCAGGCGAAAAACCCAGTACTCTCGGCTCGAGATGTCACCAAAAAATACGGTGCCAGCCGTAGTACCGTCCGGAAGATCCGTTTGCGAGCAGGCTACCGTTCATTCCGTGCCTTCAAGCAACCGACCAGGACGATGAAGCGAAATCTAGTGACCAGAACACGCGCCCGGAAGTTGTAGGACCGGGTTCTGACGAAGTACAGAGGATGCCTTCTCATCGACGACGAAACCTACGTCAAGATGGATTTCAGCCCGGACAAAAGTTTTATCTGGCCACAGCACGGGGTGATGTCCCCAGTGAATTCGTTTGTTTTCGCCGATAAATTCACCGGGAAACTGGAAAAATTGTCGCTGAGGTCTACCAGTCCAGTGTGTGGTAGATGATGGCGGGAATTCATTCAAACGCCGTCGGAGTAATTTAGCAATTTTTTTTATGGAAGTACAATAAAATAGTACCTTCATTTTGACTAAATCACATTTTTCTTACGTCAAATCAATCCGTGAAACACCTGGTGTTTGTGCAAAGTCATTTATATGTATAAAAAATACCCTACCTGTAATGAGCAATAAAAATAAACAATACAACAGTGTCTCGTATGCCTCCGCCATGGCAGGACGAAAAAACAATCGGTATTCTTTATTATTAATCAATCTGTATCACAAACACACAACATAGGGATCCCGTCCGTGCGCGATCACCTGGTTTTATGTGTTCAGATTCTAAGTGGACCAGCCTTTACACCAAAAAATCTGAAAAGATGATTTTTGCTATATTATATGTCTACTGAGCATTACACTAAAGTAGCATTAACCAGATTATTAAAATAATTTGTTCGCAAAATTGTAAAATTTTAAAACTATCATCACTTTTATGGTGAATAGAAAATCTTATTCACCACGGGGGCCATCTTTGATTTGCCAAAAGGTGTTGTTGTTTTTCTATTCCGACAATCCCCTGTATGTACGATGCGTGTGGATGGATTTGACCATCTACGCAGCGTTGATATACATATAAGGTTCCTCAGAATACCGATTTTTAAAATTTTATACCGATTTATACCGTTTAAAAAAAAAAAATCAAAATTATTATTGTCTGCCCGCGCTCGAATTTTGAAGAATTTTTGTTTAAAGACTTGTATCTTTTTGAATACCTTATATTTTTTTAGCCTTCAAAATTCTAAACAATCATCTCTAAAGATGCCTTATGCTTGATACTCTTTCGACTAATGTTTGCATTTCCTCGCCGATTTTGGCTACCCATCAATCGAAAAAAAAAAGTCGATGGCTCTTTCCGGTAATTCCTAGGGAATCGAGACATATTTTTTTAACATTATTTAACTTCCGGAAGTTTTTATTAATTTTTTTTTAACTGTCTGAAGTTTCATCCAACTTTCCCTGAAATTTTCTTCCACCTTACCTTGGAAGCTTCTTTAGCCTTCACTCGAATGATTCTTTCATCTTCTCCCGCCAGTTTTTTCAACTTTCCCGGAACTTCAAGGATGTTATCAGATTTTTAATGCGGATCCACACTAGCTGCAGGCATATTTAAGAAGTTCTGAAACTTCAGAAAAGTCTAGACTTTTGTGTAAGTTTCGATAAATTAAACACAGTTTAATTAACTGCTGTTAAAATTCGAAAACCTGGGAGTTTCAGAAAAGTCCAGGGAACTCCGGTGAACTTAAGGAAACATCATAAATATTTTGGAAACTTCACAAGTCCAAAAACTTTCAGGGAAATTTAATGGTTTTCAGGAACTTCAGTGAAGCTCAGAGAACATCAGTATAGATCAATTAATTCATGAAATTGCTGAAATATGAAGGAGTTCCGAGAAACTCAGGCAATTTCCGAAAACTTCAGCAATGTCCTGAGGGGCAAGTTACATGAACTTTAGAACATTTTATGGGAAGTTCTATGCTTTTTAATGGCAGTGTCGATAACTTTTAAACATTAAAAAAATCGGGAAGATCAGAGAACTTCAATGCTGATGTTACAACCAATTCAAGAAAATTGTGAGAGCACTTAAGATATTTCGTAATCTTAAAGAAAGTCCAGAGGCCTTCAAAGATGATTAGAGATATTCCAGTAGTCTGATTAATTATGAAATCTTCCTAAATTTATTTCAAGAATGTTCCGTTGTAGTCTTTAGGGACGTTTAATGAATATCAGGAAAATTTTCTGGATCATTAGAACAGCCCCAGGAATCTCTATCTTCCGGAATTATGTCCTTGTTTCTTTCGGCTGCTCCGTAAGCTCTCTAGCTTCCGACTTACTTCAGATGTTTCTTCCAATCTACCTTAGCAGCCTTTCTGCCAGCGTCTCCAGGAAGTGTCTTTCGTCTTCTCCAGGAAGTTCATTTAATTCTCCCAGAAATTTCTTTCGTCTTCTTCTGGAAGTTTGACCATAAGCCAAAGATTTGTTTTGTTCGACTTCTATTGGAAGGTTTTTCCGAGCTTCTTCTCGCTTTCCCTGGAAATGGCTACTTTTGAAAATTTATTTCCGGTTTCCGAGACTTTTCTGGCTTCCTTGAGATGTGGCATCCGCATTTTTACGATAGTTTATTTATATTTTCGCCACAAGTTTCTCAATTCGTGTCTTGGAAGTTTCCAACTTTTCTTAGAACTTTCCTCGAACTTTATCCAGGAGAGCTTCTTTCGTCTTTCTCTGGATGTTTTTTCGGCTTTGTTCAGAAGCTAATTCAAACATTCCCCGGAGTTTTCTTCCGGAATTTACCAAGCATTGTACAAAAGTTAAAATTTTGCTTTGATTAACGGCTTTCTCAGTCTTAAAACACTGCAACGACTACGATGTAATCTACTCGACTTTCGGCCATGGGTTGTGGCCTTTTTCAGGTGAAAATATTGTTTGTCGTTATTGCCAATAGTTTAATTAAATTTAAAAAATTAAAGACAGTTTTAATACTGAGAAATCCGTTGAACAAAGCAATTCCCCTTAAGTCCCAGTCGTCACCATTGTTAAAATTTTCGCTCTCAAAAACGGCAAAAAATTAAAATAATTGAATAGTAAATACTGACAAATACCGATTTTTTAATATCTTTGATACCGATAAGCTTTAAAACAATCTGGCAACGCTGCATCTACGGCAACTTTGCTGGGCGTTAGGGGCTTAACGGGCTCGTCAAAGTAGCGCAACCAACAATAGTCATATCTACTGCCCAGCAATTAGTCACTTCCTGATATGTGCCGGGTTTTTTTTTGCATGGAATTAAGGGTGCCTTGGTCATCTATCCAGGTTAAGTTAATACATTTTCATTTACGCGTCGAATTGAAAATGTTTCATTCATCAATAAATGAAAACGTGGTTCTAATTTAAGTTTAATAAGTAGACCTATCCTTTAACTCTTCATTGCGGCTCAAGTACTTAGTTGAGTAATCATTATTACGCTGAGGCTTTGGGATGGAAATAAATCGTACGTACTGTACAATTTAATCTTGTGAAACACTTCGCAAGATAAATGAATATCGCTCCCTCAAGAGATGTACCATAAATTCCAAGACACAATGTAAGCCGAGTTGAAATTTTCCCATCCGAAACCACGTAATTTATCGCTCAAAACGTTGTACACCTTTTTAATGTCACATGAAATCTCGCGGGCTGTCTGAGTCACGTTCGTACAAACGAACACCATCACATGCGGCTAGGCATTTTCCTAAATGAGCCTTGAAAAAAAACACACTAACACACAGGCAGCATTTTCCCCGAAAAGCCGGTTCTCTCTGACGGTTGTTTGTCGCCCGAAGGCATAACAGCTTTATTTAGGTCCATACTCGGAAACGGAAATTTTACTGCTGTTCCATTGCAATGAGATACTGATAAAGGATGAGAGATAAATAAAAAAAAAACCAGAACGCCTGTGCTTGGAGTGAGACTGCAACGGAAGTGAAACGTTCTCCTGTTCTCACTATATAGGAAGGTAAAGAATCCTTTTTCCGTGCCCAGCATCCGTGAGCAGAGCGGAGGTTGCAGTATCGTTTTCAATTTAAATAATAAAAAAAAATCATTATTATCATTGCTTTGATTGTCGTCTTCGAAAGGAAATGTTTTTGACATTTGAGGGTTACATTGTTCGATGTTATTGCATATAATTAGGGGATGTTGGGTCATTTGGCCGAAACCATAGTGATGTAAAACCGAGAAAATGTGTTCGTGTTTTGTTTTCAATGGTGTGTCTTCAGAAATGTTGTAGATCATTGTAGTTAAAAACTACTAAAAAACCGCTAATTCAGTGATTTTAACCTTAGTATTAGCAGACTGAAATCAAATCATTCAAACATTTCGGACGCAAATAAAATTCACCTAATGGTGAGCTTCCCATAATTTATACCGCTACCCTACGTGGCTAAAAAAAACAGAGCTGAAAACATAAAAAGTGTAATAGCAAGAGCTCGCGGGTCATAAGTGCAGCCTTGCCATCAGAATGAATGAATGAGATTTTGATTCGATTATTTCCTCCTGTTCCCGAGAAGCATTCCCGCAGGCAGCATCAGCACTGACAGAGTACACATTTAGGAGTAAAGCACGGAATCCATTTCCCCCCTATTCGCTTCAATCTAGGTGCTGCACTGGGCTGGCTATCTACCTATGGCAGAGTACGCGCACACATCCTCCCACAGCAGTCAGCACAGTTAATGGGTGGAAAATTGACGTTAAAATTGAGATTCCAGGAAAATCGATTACAATCGACTGCTGCAGCAGAACCATCAATGTACGGCGAGGTAAAATTGGAAATGAGTGACTTTATTGGAAATGACTTTGATTTACACTCCATCGCTGGTGTGGTGTGGTTGGGTTTTGTTTGAATTAATGGGGTCCAGAGGTAGACGAACGAAGCAAGACTTACCGATTCCGTTAGCTGCTTGAGCGATGCATTGATTTTGTCCGGATTGCGGGGTGGGGGCTCGGGTGGTTCCGACGAGGCAGCCATCGTTACCGTGCCATTCAGTTGCATTTTCGTGAGTGGGGGAAGGAAATTCGGTGCTGCCTGTTACTGGTGGATCATTGTTGGGGATCTGTAAAGAAAGGAGAATTTGCATTATTGCGACTTTACTTACTTCAACAAATGTAAAAAAAAAACTAATGTTATTGTTTGTTGTACCACATTTGCACTCCATTTGCATACAATCCATAGAAATGCAAAAATCACCCTCAACTCCATCCCTGCTGCTTTCTCGGATTGTGAAACGGATATTTCATTCATTCCATTACAGCACTATTACTATCCCCGCTCAGCATGTGCCGGACCGTTACTATCAGAGTCAGGTTTTCCCAGTTTTCTACGAATTCCGAAACCCGAAGAAACACAGTAATCGTAGCTGACAGTCCTTTTGATATGGTGTGTCATCGTAGCCTAAAGAGGGACTTCACCGAGCAGACAGCACGACACCGGTTACAATTGTGAACGGAAAGTTATTGTCACTGAAAGTTGAAGACAGAGAAATTTTCCTCCGTCGTTCGGGGGGTGGCTCTCAACGCTCGAGAGAATGAATTCCTATTTCGATTTGCACCCCAACCGGGCACAGCTCCAACAACCACAATGACTATGACACAAACGATACTAACGACCATGATGGGCAAGTTGAAATATTGTACTTTTTCGAGTGGAGCTTCTCATCGTTCTAATGCCTTCTCCGATAGCCCGTATGGAAATGCTGCAGACAGTGATACAATTGTAGGCTCACGATAATGTGCGATTTCGAAGTAGCAGAAGAGGTCGGTTTGTGGTGCATTATGCAAACAGTTGTCGAACTAAAGTTTTGCCGTTAGTACCCGGGCACTCCAAGTTGAATGGGCTGTCAAAGTTGTGTATCTACCGACCTACCTACCGATGATGGTCGGTTTAGTTTGTCTTCTGCTGCATCGCACTACTAATGATGCTATTTCAGTGAAATTGAATAAACGTCACACTTGGACTGAGTTGGGCTTTGCTATGTCTTCAGACTGTGGATTAGGGTATGGCATTTCTCGGAAAACCCGTTTCCCGGAATGTTCCATTTTCCGGAATATTTTTTGTCGTTAAAGAAAACAAGTAAATTTATCGGTTTTTTAACGTGAATATGGAGCATATCTATCTAACTCTATCGTTAATAAAATAATAATATTTAATAAAATTGAAATTAATCAAAATCAATAAGCATAACATTCTTGGTCGCTCGTGATCTTCTTTTAAATCATCATAATGAAACAATTTTTTTCTTAACTGCGAGGTATGGGAGATAAGTTTAAAAAACGCTCCTTTGTTTACATTAAGTTTATTTAATAAATTTGATTGTTGCTATGCTATTGATGGGCGGTAAAAAGTTTAAAACCCGCTATCTTAACCACGTCTCTTGAAGGCTTCACTCCCATACCTCGTCATGCTAAATTTTAAAACCTGCATCGTTATGATGGGTTTCAAGAGGGCTGTGAGAGGCCAAGCATTTTAGGCTTACATTGCATTAACATTTTCAAGTAGCTTTCATAATTGAACAATGGTCATTTGGCATAATGGACGTTTGGCATAACTACAGGGTGAGTGATAATTTTCGTCAGTGTTGTTTAAACGTCTGTACTTTCCGATGGGGTACTCACATACACGTCTGCATATTTTTCTTTTAGAGTGTATTCAAACGTCAACACAGCTAGCAAGTTTGTTTTGGATTTCAATTCGTTTGAGATTCGTGGCAATCATGGACGCGAAAAGGGAACTCGTGATAAGCCTGTTTTTGACACGGTGATTGTGAAATTCTGTTTTCGGACGAGGCAATGGTCCTGCTACATGATCACCAAAAATTTCGATATTGTTTGTTTTGATAGTAACACTGCTCAATCGCTGTCGGTTTTTGATTGTTTTAGTCCATTCAAAGACACTTCACTGAAGTTATTCGTATACATCTGTAAACTCTAGTTTTGTGAATTTATGTGGAAAGTGGAAATCAGTTGATTCGTGTTGACTTTATTTAGTTTTACCGTACACACTTAGAAATAACTAATTTTACAGGTGATGGAATCCATCTTTGACATAAAAGATGAGACGTAAACAAACATGTCTTCTCCGACACTGAAAAGTTTGTTACTCGACGAAAAGTACGTTTGATTGAGCTATATTTCGCGTCTGTTATGAATCAAATTTATATCAAAAATGACGCTCGTGGATATGTCACTCTCAGAGCACCTAAATTTACATGATTTTTTCTAAGTGTGTATATTTGGTGGTGTGAAATTTGCCAGTCATCCATAAAATGTTCTGTTTGTTGTGCTAGTGGTGTTGCAAAAACCACCTTTCGATCGTAAGGCTAACATTCGACACGCCACCTACATCTGGATTTAGTAATCTGTTTATTGGGCATTTCAAGCGTAATGACCAGTACAAGTGCTTGTGACCGCTGTGCAATGGGTGCTGTATGGGGTTCTGCGACCAAGTGTATCATGTAAGATGCATTAACTTAAACTTGCCGTTCGTTAGGATTCTTCGTGAGAAAATTATTTTGTTCTGGATGTGTGACGAATTGATGAAGTACGCCCGATTCAGAAACACTGTTTCATCCCTCGGCAACGTAATTTCGACGGTGATAGGCAGTCAGCTGACCGACTTATCCGAGCTGAAACCCGAAATGGCCAAAAACAACAATCAGGTCGCTCAACTCACTCACATAGTTAATGCTGCTACCCCAGATACATCTGCTAGACCGAATACGAAAATGGAAACACCGACTAAACCGACTACTGGAACAAGAGTGATTGGAACTACCGATACTTTAAGTAGAATTCAGTGTCCGAAAAGCGTGCAAGGCTATAGTAGTATGATTTCACACGGCGCACTGCTTATTTGCCATTTTTTCAAGTATTTTGTGACATTTTCTAAATGTGTATTACAAGGGGTTTTTAGAAGGAATGTGGTGTATGGAAAAATAACCTTAACAAGTGAAAAACATTTTTTATACTTCTAGTAAAATGGTATAAACGTCATTCACGTTAAGGGCTGTCCATAAATTACATAAACACTTGAATAAGAAATTTGAGCGTTAAAAAGTGTGTACGGCTCATCTTATCTTATTAGTGTGTGCATTTCTGTCTGTACATTGGAACCCTTTCGTTCTGACCCCGTCATTTCCTCTTTCACCTACACTGAACGAAAACATCCGTAATACTTCGAATGATTTTTGCATTGCTCGAGCCCTTTGACAATATGCTTTTGAATCTCGGATGATTGCCTGTTGCGTTTCATTGTTTTCATTTGTTTCTATTTACTTTGTTATTATTTTGTATAGTTTGCACTCGTCTCTGTCTGAAATGTCAAATGAAGGGCAAATCTCGCAGATCAATACAATTCCCATACAGCAGTATAATAAATGAATACTTGTTTGCAAGTTGCTGCTAAAGCCATTAAGTGTTGCATTACAAAACTATTATTGCGAGCACTGAAAGTAATTGTGTTCCGCTTTGTAAGATGTAAGTATCATTAAGCTAAAAGATGATTGTTAGGAAACAGTATAAAACCCTCAAGACAAACTGAAAATACACACAGTTGAATTCAAATCTCCGAGTAGGCATGCTGCCCCTCGGAGTGCAGTTAATCTGGACTTTTTCTTCGTCCTATTTTTCATCCCAATTATCAAGTATCCGTCGCCGTCACCCTGTTGGAGTTGATCCATCGAACCGTCAAGGAATCACAACGTAGGGTCCTGATCTACCGATGAACAAAACATTGCCTTATTCTTGAATTCATCATCAGCTGATGAGCATCCATATGACTGTTATACATAATACAGGATGATATTTATTTAAAAATTGGCTGCAAAACATACAGCGCTCAGAGGACAACAATTTAAGAATAGGATGACAAACTCATGCTTTAGATTAGATTTATAATTCGATCGTTTACATTTCCAAACTGAATAGTCATGAACAGCCATTCTATTATGGATCCATATATCCATATATCCATACAAAAATCGTTTGTTGGTAGAGGAAACTTCGTGAGGTTGACTAGCAGCTTGTGCAGAAGTTGATGGCCTTAACAAGCCTAAAGTTCGAATTTTCATTCGAGAGGAATAAACATCGCAAAACCTATGTTGTATCTTTAAACCGGGTACACGACGTTAGGCATACGGTCGTTAAACATACGGACGTTAGGCATAATGTACGATAGGCATAATGGACGTTAGGCATAATCTACCCGATGAATTCCAGAATAATGATAATGGGAACCGTCATTGATTGCTGACCTCGGTGACAATAATGAAAGAGCCTTAATTTTTGGAACTCATGAAAACTTGTGACGTCTTGGACAGGCAAAGTATTGGGTTGCACAGATGGTACGTTTGCCACAGTTCCTTGTTTGTTTCGGCAACTCGTCACTGTTCATGGAAGTATCGCTCCCTCACATCAGCAGACGGTTCCGCTAGTTTTCATTCTGATGACAACAAAAACAGAATCGTTGTATCGAAAAGTATGGCAGGAAATCCTGGAAGCAGCAGTATGTTTTTTTGTTATTGAATGAAAAACCACAGAATTCATCATTCTTCATTTCATGAGCTGTTCTTTGGCATCATATTTTATTCAACCTTAGCTGTTTATTTTTGTTATTGAATGAAAAATCACAGAATTCACCATTATTTATTTCATGAGCTGTTCTTTGAGGAAAACCTTTTCTTCTTTGACAATTGCAATATGTGTGTAAGAATATATTACAACAAATGTGTGATTTTTTTTTATTTCTAGATGCGATTGATTTCAAGATATAATTCAAAACTATGCTGAGTTCTCATTTCTAGATTACTTAACCGCTATCGCTACTAATCTTGGATCTAAGTAAATATGTAGCTACGTCACTTATGATATGATAAATAATGGGATCCAAACTGTGCTTATTAAATAAACTATGTTTGTTTAACTTGTATAATTTTTTTTTATTCAACGCTTAGCCTAATTTAAGCATTGTTTACCATGCTCGAAACATGTTTCTAAAGTTGCACGGCAGCAAGGTATTTTATGCCTAACGTCCATTACGCCTAACGTATATTATGCCTAA